GATGGAGAGAATACCTGAGATTGCATAGTCGGACGCGTCAGTTTCAACTATTAGCGGACGATCGGGTACCCAGTGTGTAAGGATGGGGGCGGATGTGAAAGCTTCTTTGAGACGAAGGAAGGCGGAACGACACTCATCAGAGAAGGACCAAGCCACATTTTTACAGGTGAGTCTGGTCAGCGGAAGAACTATACTGGAATAATCATGGATGAAACGGCGATAGAAGTTTGCAAATCCCAAGAAGGACTGGATGTCCTTGACCTTACGGGGCTCGGGCCAATCCTGAATGGATTGAATCTTTTCGGGTGACATGGACAAACCAGTTGGCGAAAGGATGTAGCCCAAATACTCCGTAGTGTCAGTTGAGAATTCACACTTCTGCGGATTGGCAAATAACCCGTGCTTGCGTAGCCTACTCAGGACTTCCCGGACGTGATCCTCATGCTGAGTCTCATCTTCCGAATAGACCAGGATGTTGTCCAAGTAGACCACCACGCGAGTGTCGAGAAGATCAGCAAAGATGGTATTAACGAAGTGCTGAAAGGCTGCGGGTGCGTTGGTCAAACCGAATGGCATGACGAGCCACTTGTAGGATCCGTAGCGCATGCGGAAGGAAGTCTTCCACTCATCGCCCGCTGCTATCCGCACCAAATGGTACGCATGGCGGAGGTCAAGCTTGGTGTAGATCTTCGCACAGCTAGGAACGTCTAGGAGATCAGAGATACGCGGCAGCGGATACCTATCTTTCTTTGTGATCTTGTTGAGGCCCCTGAAGTCCACACAAAGACGTAGAGAACCGTCTTTCTTGCGGACGAAGAGCACTGGCGCGGCATGGGTTGAAGACGAAGGACGGATGAAACCGGACACCAAATGCTCGTCAAGGAATGTACGGAGAGCCTCAAGCTCAGACTGGGAAAGGGAATAAAGGGTGCCAAGGGGGGATGGGAGCCTTCCTCCAACTCGATCTTCAGGTCATATTCACGGTGCGGCGCGAGAGTATTGGCTTTACTCTTACTGAAAACATCCGCAAACTCGTGATACGCCTTAGGAACAGTTGAGAGGTCGACGGGGTCAGAAGAGGTGGATGTCGAGCGCAACTCTGCTAAAGTGGACAGATTTTCCAGGCAGAAAGTGACGGACCCATTGAGTCGGGCAGTCCGGGCGAACACAGCCGGACTGACGATCTCAATGGTGATTGCCTGACGGACGGATGCACACTGTGGGTCGGAGGTCGGATTCCCTTGCATTGGGACTGGGTCCACAACTACGGGAGGAGAGCTCAGGGTGGTTGGACTGGATTGCACAGACGTCCGGAAAGTTATACTGCTCGAGACCCAGTCAATCAACGGATTGTGTCGGGTGAGCCAGTCATGTCCTAGGACGATAGCGCAAGAGCCATCCAACGATGTGACATAGCATGTCGTCGGAGTAACCTCACCAGTGGCGAATCGGATGGGCAGATTGACGGCTTGGGTGATCATGGAATTCATGGAGCCGTCAAATAGTCGGAGTTGCAGAGGCGCGACAGGGTACATGGAGATGTGATGTTTATTGACGAAGGATGTATCTACAAATGTGTCAGAAGATCCTGAGTCAATAAGAGCGGAAAAGTTTCCAGACGGAAGAGAAGAAGGAAAAGACATATTTTTACGGGGTTCAGACCCCCCGGAAGAAGAAGACAGAGCAGAGCCGGGAGCATTCTCCCTTGAAGCGGAAAATCGACCATCATCAGAACAAGGAGAAAAAGAGATCGGAACAGAAAGAGAATGGAGAGCGGATAGCCCAGACGCGTTCAAGCACAGGACTCTAGACATACGAGGAGGGTCAGCGTGACCAACCGGTCGTACAGGGCCCGGAGGGTCACTATCTAGTTTTTTTCCTCGTCCGAATCCACCACAGAATCCGTGACATCCTCAGCCTGGGCTGCTCTAGCTTTGGCCGCATGGGAGGAGGACTTGGGACACTCTTTGGCCACATGCCCAGAGCGCCCACAGAAGAGGCAGAGGTTGTTCTCGAAGCAACGCTGGCGTTCTTCTTTGGTGAGCTTGCCACTCTTGTCAAGCTTCGAGGACAGATCAGAGTCGGGTTGCTTTCCCTTGGACTTTTTAGGGTCCTTGGTAGAGCGATCAGCGGAGGTGGAGGGGTCGGACGTGGAGTCAGGAGGGTTGGAGGACTTAGAGTACTTCGGGTTCTTGCCCGATTTCGCGTTCTGCTTGGAGGAGTCGGGTGAGGTAGCTCGATCTCTCGGACGGTGCGACAACTCGCCCTTGCGCTCCCAATATCGTCCATCGATATCTTGGGCAAGAGAGCGCATGTCATGCAACGAGCGTGGCTTACCATAACGAGTGATCTCATCCTTGATCCTATCCGGCAACCCATTGTAGAAATGGTGCCTCAAGGCAACCTCACCGTATCCGGGTAACTGTGAAGCATTGCGATTAAACTCGACGACGTACTTGGCGATCCTGTGATTATCCGACATAGTCAGAGTACTCAGACGACGCTCAGCATCACCAAAGGGGTCATGCGGGCCGAAGTTCTCTTCGAGTTCTCGGACGAAGAGTTCATAGTCGTCCATCCAACGTGGACGGCGACGCGGGTTACCATGTAGAAGTTCAGGCTCAAACCAGCTCAGAGCGATCCCCTTGAGGAAGGACGTAGCGTAGATGACTTTCGTACGCTCGTTAATAAATGCTTGGGGGCGGTTCTGGAAGTTGAGTTCGCACTGAACAAGGAAAGTGCGGAGTTTCTGAGGGTCAGTACCGTCAAACTGGTCAGGCTCATGAAGCTTCGTCCTACGGCTGGGGTCTGGAGGTTGACGAGTGGCAGTGGTTGAGCGGGCCAGGGCGGCAATAGCGTCCGTCAACTGGGCCAACACACGGCTACCCGGGTCATCTGGCAGCTGATCCTCAGGCAGATCATCACCACCGTCATCACCACCACCACCATCACCGTCACCACCACCGTTACCACGGTTGGGTGGGGCGTCTGGCGGGTCCAGAGGATTAGCAGGATCAGGACGTGGAGTAGGGTTACGAGAAGCTTCGGGGTCATAGTCATCAGCTTGGCTGTCCGGATCGACATCTCTCTCAACAGCAGCCGCCTCGTCATGGTCTTGGAATATGGAACGACGGAATCGACAGGAGGGTGCAGGAGTGGAGGAGGAAGTAGGGTCATCACGGTCAGCCGTAAAGCTTTGGAATGGCGGTCGTTCAGAAGGGTCTAGGTCGTGTCTGCGCAAAAGTTCTTCAAGCGTCCCGAGACCTGGAAGCCTAGAAGAACCAGGTTCGGTGCGCGTCTGTGAACGGGTTTGATAAGCTCTAGACATAGTTCAGTGAAACAATGATAGAGCAAGGAAAAAACGTAAGAGCGATTTGAGTTCGTATATACTGTCAGGAACGTGTCAGAAGCGTATCCGGGTGACCCGCGAGGCGCGCGAGGTCGTCTGGGCTCGTAAGGTCGGAGGGGCGGGACTTTAGCTTCAGCGACTCGGGTGGAGCGCTGCGCTTCGTTCTTACGTTGGTGTCCCAATTTCAGACAGAAGCCTTACGATGAGGATAAGAGTTTAGAGGGGGAATCCAAGTCAATATACGAACTGAGGTACATCCAGTGTAACCTACACGCATTATAAACACAAGTAACTAAATGAGAGCGGCCCGGAAGGAGTGGCGGATCAAGCGCGATATTAATGAATGAAGAAAGGAACAAATAATCAATATCGGCAAACTTGGTCAACAAAAGGCAAGCAAGGAACAATAGGAGGAACAATAGTCTGCAAGCAGACAAAAGAGAAAAGGCCATCCGGCCGTCTAGCAAGCCGTCCGGCTGGGGGCGGACAACAATGAAGCGGGCAACCTAGGTTGGAAGGTATGCACGCGAGGGAGGAAGTGCGGATGAGGGTGACGGGTGGACGGATGGGTGGACGGATGATGATGATAGCGGGAGGGACGGGCCAAGTGGCACTAGGACGCGTAGAGGGAAGTGTCGGATATGTCGGGTCGTGACATAAACCAGGTGACTGGACAAATGACATAAAATGGACAAGCCTGGTATTGAACCCAGGACTTCTAGTGTGCATCCATACACTACTCACCCGTTATGCCAGGGGGGGGTACCCCATCCCTGATGGTTTCTCCAACAATATTGTTATATATATACTCTGCACTTAGTTTCCTGTACCCCCAGTCTGAAATCAACAACCATGACGACTGGATTGTCCCCCAAAGAGACTCTCCCTGCTAACCTGAAGTTAAGGACCACCTTAGACAACAAGCAGTGGCACAGTGCTCCACTTGAGTCACTGAGGCCAAGGTCCCTCCACTCCTGAGTCCCTTCTCCGCTTCTGGACAACTCTGCACGTTCATCTAACACTCTGCATACAAATGAAGATGGCATATTTAATTTGAAATTGCAGTCCTCCCAAACTGGATGGCCAAGCTTGCAGTGCAGTGCCGAAGGTGCTGCAAGCTCAGCCATCCAGTGTGAGGGGAACCCTCATAACAATTGTAGCCTGGTTGCAAATGGCTTCATAACTTAGGGTCCTCCCATTGTGCTTTTATTCTATCATTCCTCTTTCAATCCTCTCTGTGTATGCATACAATCCAACATCTCTCATCCACTATGGACTCCTTTGCGGACAAATGCAGTGTGTGTCCATCTCCACTTTCTCTCCATTCTCTTATCACTTTATCATTCCTGATGTGTTAAAGCTTAGTGATCATGCACAATAGGTCATACGGGAAAGTGGCTCTCATGGATCGGTGTTGAGTGAAAGTGCCGAAGTGAACAGGCCCCCCCCCAAAAAAGGGAAGCCGCGCTTGGATTCTTCTGTTATTTGGTTATGTAACCTCTGTCCAAATACATAGAAAAGAGTGGCGGGTTCTGCCGCGTCAGGCAGCAGCCTTTAAGTCATGCCTTAGCTGTATTATAGCAGAGTTGGCCAAATTTACTGTGACTTATTGTGTCTTATCCAACACTGTCCAGAAGCTTTGTCTACAACATTAATGGTAACCATATCCAAATGTATCAATGGCTCCAGCTCTCCTCCCTACACAATACCGCATACAAAAATGCTGTTGGAATCCATACTCATCGGCATCGAAGTTAGTCCAAACAATAGAATGAGGAAATCGTCCGGTGTTGAGCACGTGGAGGAAGCTTGAAAGCGTCCAGTCACCAGGAAACCAATAGAAGCACAAGGAAACCGGATCCCTCGAGTAGAACATAGACCCAACACGAAAAATGATCTCTCCAAAGCGGTGTATTAACAATACTTCAAAATCACCTTGGAGAATCTTGTGAACATGGAATATTTCAGAATGTTGAGATGGGTACGTCCAAGGAACCCAGTCAACAAATTCTTCAGGATCTCCAGACCAATCTGTTGACCAGCCATTTGGAACAAGCTCTTGCGACACAGGAGAGGGTGGAGGGAGCTCTGCTCCTTCCCATCGATGTGGCGGTGACTGAGGACGGAGGATCTCTGGGGATGGGTGCCAACCAAAAGGGACTGGTGGCAGGATGGGCTGAAAAGCAGGTTAATATTTGTAATGCAAGATGAAATAACAACTCAACTTGTAGCTGTTTATTACTTAAATGCATATCCAGATTTAGCAGAGGTAATGGGGGGAATGCAGGGGTCGTACTTACTCATCATGACTCGATGGAAACGGCAAGTCATCAGTAGGAAGCTCCAAATAAGAACGTAAAGCTGCAGTAAGATTCTTCCGTAATTCCCAAGGAATATTCGCCTCTCCATTGACAACCAGCGAGTTCTCCCCCGCTAGTCTATAAGCGCAGACCCAGTGAGAATCGCACGTATACCAGCAACAATTATCACCTACCCAAAATCAACAAGCCATATGTTCCCTTGGGCTGTACTCACGGTCATTATACCAAGAACATCATCAAATGACAAGGATAAGCCATAATCCCAGCAGTCAGGTCCAGGGAGCTCCCACAATGTCCGGGGTTCACCTAGTTGGCCCTCTTCTATCGAGCATGCGACAATTCTTGGATTGTGAGTGGATTCATTACCAGAGAAGAAAATACAGCCTGTATTGCTTGAAGTCACTCCAAGATTACGAATCCATGGCCGCCGCGCATGTGACTGGATAGGCACTCTCGCTTGAGAACTGGTCAGGGTCACCAACCCGGTGTCATCATGGGCACTCAGCTGGCAGAGCAAGAAATTTTGATACATGTCGCGTGCAATCAGATGAATAGTGGGAGTGCTTGATTCCATTCTGATCCACGGTTGGACCTGGAAGAGGGCAAATTTGAGCCGTATGATTTGCTTGGGATTGATGAATTGAGGCGACATGCAGACAGAAGACTGGCTGAACGTGTCGAGTCCGTATATGTGGATGGAAAAATATTTGAAGACAACAATACTGGATTCTGTAAAAACTGCGGTCTGCACACGGCAGGGCTGAAAAAACGTCTCAGAACTCATGCTACCGGACAAATCTGCAGTGCTTACGACTGCATCATCATCTTTGGAACTGAGAGTGTAGGTTGCACCATCCATTCTCGCAAGCGTTAGTGCCTCTGGTAGAAGCGAGGTAGCAAACAAAATGAAGTCATTGTGTGCAGCAAGTGGTTCAGAGACAGCTTCGTATGCCATCAAGTGAGTGAGTGTGGAGTGATTGCCTAATGCACATTCTAGCAGCTGGGACCTGCAATTGCTGATATGAAAGTTGTCAAATGTGAGGGATATCGCTCCGGCGAGATTGAACATGAGTCACCTGTACGAGAGGATAAGTAGAGGCTTGTCGATGTCGGTTTGGGAAGAATGAGCGAGCCCCGAGCACACCCATCCACCGGCAGAATCAAGATCAAGTGGCTGACGACGCAGGTCATGGTGGGTATCCCAGAGCTCTAACGTTCCCTCCGAAGACGCGAGGAAAAGCCAACGGCCTCCGTAGAGAGAGACCCATGTTATGGAATTGGCATTGCATTGAATATTCTTAATACACCGTGGGCGTGAGGGCCACAGATTGCGCAAGCCACGGAAGGTCCGGACAGCCAGGCGCTCCAGAACAATTCTTGGTGAGGCACGGAGTCCGCTGAGGTGTTGTGGCATCCAGAAACCTGCCTTGATGATGTTCTCATATATCCATGCAATCCAGAATGGTTTTGAAAGCGACACCCAATAGAGATGTCTTGAACCACACTGGAGAATGGCGATGGAGGCTTGATCAAGAAAGTGGTGCTGGAAACTCACCTTTCTTATTGAGAATATGTCATCAATAGTTAATAATGTGCCAAATGCAATGAAAATGTCGTCTGGGATCGACTCTGGGTGCATTGCGCTCAGTTGCGAGGTTTCGGAGTGGACGATCCGTCAATCTCCCTAGCATGTGACTTTTTGTATAACTGGGGAACGCCGCCTGAAGCGGCAGATCCCGCTACTCTTACCTCGCATGCATGTTCACTCTCAACGTTACTATTGGCTCAGATGAAGCCCGAGATTCACTCTCGCTCTGTAAATCTACCGCATACTCTGATAAGTTCAGGACCACGTAATTTACACTGCAGCCATGCAGCAAGCGGAATAGAACTGTATGGGGCAGAGAATGGACCCTGGGTTTGGGGGTCATACAGGACCCTCTGCATAGGACAATTGAGTTTGGGAGAAAAAAATGTAGGACCCGCTACGGAGTAGCGGGAATTGAAAGCAGGAAAGTGAATACCTTACCTAAGACTAGGTTTAGCGTTTCGGGTGGTCGAGAGCGACGTGGTCAAGGACTTGAGCACGGGAAGCAACTTGTGTTGACCAGCTGCGGCTTAAATACATGAAAAATTGAGTCCGCATTGAGACAAGAGAGTCAGACGTAGCAAGGGACGCCGCGGTCCGTTTCCGTCGAGGGAACGTCCTCCATTCATTGAATGGAGGACGACAAAGGGAAAATCGTCACGTCCCCCCCATTCACTCGCCACCGTTCGCAGCGATTTGCATTCAGTCCCCATTCAGTGCCACATACGATTGCGCCAAAACGACCATCTGTTAGGCAGGACGAACCCCATGTCGAATTCCCTGGAATCCCTCCTCTTCTAAAGGCGACAGCAAAGGAATTAGCTCAGTGAGGTACGCAAGGATGGGCGAATATCTCACTCCACCACGGCGATGACCGAGGCACGTACAAATCCATTGAAGCGTTATATACACATTTGTTTCAAAATCAGGGAAGCCTCATGCTGTCACGCTAATGTTATGACATCCTAACCGCTTCAAGGTGTCCGTACTCCAGGCCAGGAACTGACCCAAGAATCAGCTCCCAGATCCACACCGACAGAATCCGCATCCCTTGCACCATCGCAATGGTTTTGTACAAAGAGTACCTCGATGGGATCCATGACCCTGAAATCGTACAGACACTTGAACGAAGCCCATGTCGTATCCAATGTTTATATTGGAGCATCCGATCATGAAAATGGGCTACAACAGAGGATGACCTCCATTGGACGCTGGACCATGAGAGCCTCGGCCTGTGCTACAAGGGGGTTAGTCTTAAAGGAATCTGCGGACAATCGTCTATATGTTAGATGATGTCCGCAGTGCGTAACGTCGTTACATTTATAGGTGATAACACAAAGGGATGTGTGGCGTAAGGACAAAGTTGGGAGGCAAAGGGCGTCGGAGCACAATCCCCAACGCGACAAGGGGGGCGCAAAGGAGTGGCCAGAATAGGAAAGGTGCCACCCGGCTAAGCGGGAGCGGGTCCGGATTGAGTGCTTTGAGTGGGTGCATGTGAATGTTTCAACAAGTCTGACATGGGGGACATGTGAGGACGATGCTTGTTGTTGTGAATGGTGGAAGTGGGGTGAAATCCTAACGAATTGGGGTCAGCGACGTCGGACAAGGATAAATAATAGATGTCCTTATCGCCGAGGGGAGGTAGTGGTTCGTAGACCTAACAAATGGAATGAGATGTGGTTAGTAATGAGCCTAAACGAGTAGGGTGTGGAAATACATACCGTCGAGAACAAGTAGTCTATAGACCAAGAAGATGTAGCCTAAAGTAGGGAATGCGTGCGCTTACCGTCCAGAGAAGTGGTCCGTAGACCATAAAAAAATAGAAGAGGATGTGGTTAGTGGTAAGTAGGGAGTGCGCATACTTACCGTCAAGAGTAAGTGGCCCGTACGTAGGCCTAAAAATGGAGGAAGATGTGGTTAGTAATACGCCTAAAGAAAAAATACTTACCGTCGAGGTTATTGATTACATGCGGCAGAGGCGCGCGGGAAGATGAAAGATCAAAATAATAAAACAAATATTAGCAGCGGGCATAGATTGCTGTGAAAGGCAAAACTGTCAGTAGCTAGTCCTCCACAGACGGGGGAAAGAGAACAGAGAAAAGGAAACCGCGCACCTTGCGACCGTCCCGGAAGAGCCAGAGCTATGTACCTAGCTCCCCCCACCCGCTTTGGGTTTCGGAAGAGCTGGTATGAAACTAAGCACAAGTCCCCGGCAGAACCGTGGACGGCCCGAATTTAAAGAAGAAAAAGAGGAAGGAAATTTAAAAGGGAACTGCATTCCCCGATCCAATCCCTTCCAACTCCTGACGACATACAGCACTCTGATGTGACGCATCTTTTGCGGGGCATGGCCTGGCACAGAGGCATACGGCATACAGCACTCCAATGTGGTGCATATCTAGGCACGTAATGACCTCTGGGGAGGGGGAAAGCAGGAGGAAAAAGAGAAGACACAGCCGACGACGCATTTCTATTGGTCGGCATCTTTAGGGAGAGGATACAGCCAACAACGCATTCGAGTTGGTCGGCATATTTAAGGAGAGGCATAGGGGCATAGGGGCAAATAGAGGCATAGAGTATACAGCTGAAAACGTGTTTCCATCGGTCGGCATATTTTCAAGTAGAGGAAAGAGAGTCGAAATAGACAGCCCCGCTGTGTTCAGTGGCCACTCTCTTCTGATATAAGTTTCTTTTCTACTCTGACTTCGTCACTCGTTTATCTCTATAAGCATTCTGACTACTCTTGCCTTCCCACTCCTTTATTTCTCTCCCGAAATGGACGACCCTACTGCGTTCAGCAGGCACCCCCTCACTAGCTCCTGGAGAGAGATAAAGTGGTGGGAAGGCAAGAATATCAAGATGCTTATAGCAGGAGAGATAAACAAGTGACCAGATCAGAGTAGAAAGGAAACTTATAGCGGAAGAGGGTGGCCGCTGAATGCAGTGGGGCCGTCTATTTTGGGAGAGAGATCAGGGAGTGGCCAGGTGGGGACAGTCAGGCCGGGTATCATGGGAGGGGTATATTCCATGGGAAAGGTATATTTCGCACAGAGGGCATCCACGCGAAGGGGGTATATTCCATGGGAGGACCCAAGAGCTCCTCAATTTATGCACGAAACCAGACATGTTCTGTTTATTTTTGTTTATCGTTCCAGAACGCACGAAAGCTGCCGTGAAGCAAACAAAGGATTTGTGTCCAATGTATGACAAATGTGACTGAGACATAGGTGCCGAGACCAAAAAGTCAGTCCAGCAAACTTCGAATGTATTCCTTGGTGGGGATCCTCCACTTCTCCTTTAGACAGTATGTCTTGTTTTTGAGTTTAGTTTCCGTCCTCACTATTCTGATGATGACAAATGCATGGAAGACGCCATTATAGTGTCTGGAACCGGATACTGGACGAGCGCATTGTTTTGACAACATGCTATTTAACTCCGCTTCAGATCTTTTACTTCAGCATAAAACAGAAACTGCTCAGTCCAGCGGAGATATTCCTGTATTCAAACAGGTGGGCGGTGCGATGTAGCCTACCGAATCTATTATATGATTTATATCTGGACCCCTTGATTTTTTGTCGGGCCTAAAGGCGGCCCAAACGCACAAAGAGAAGAGTGGGAAGGAACGTACAAAATTCATTACTGCACTCCCACATTGGAGATCAGTCAATTCACATGCACCAGCCAACCATGATTACACTCAGCATGATCCATTCAAATTTGTGAGTCTCGGTTTTCAATTAGATCATACCATTTGGTTCCCCTGTGCGCGATGCGATGGCTTAGGTGCACGTCCGGTTCCCTATTCACGGGCGCATTGGCATGCTGTGTTGAATGTGTTAGAAGGAATCATAATGCATGACTGATTGAGAACAGTCTGGGCGACATTCGTGGGACAGCAAACCAAATCGGGAGTGACAAGTTCAATTCTGATTAGGTAAGCCGGGGGCGCAGCGAGTATTGCATGGTCGGACATCGGCCGCCAACTCTCAATCGCTTGTAAGCCACTCTCACGGCTCAGCCTGTGGCCCTTGAGTCTCACGGTGGGATCGGGTTTATCACGCTGGCTCCCTACTCATCCTTCACCAATTCATCGAACTCCTCAAAGTTTATCTCCGACTCGAACCCTTCCAGCACAACAGATACGGACCTGTCCTCTAAAAAATGCAAGGGAAGCGGATAGAAAAGTCAACCCCTACGAAGTCTTTCGATACCGTGGTGTCCAGACCTCAGATGTTGAAGCGAGGGTGCGCCCCGATATGGTAACGAGGAAGGGGCGGCACAGTGGGTCTCCGGAACGTTTTTTTTGGTTTGGGGAGCGGTGTATCGACATAAGTGCATCGCTATCATTTCATTTCATTGCAATAGAGCCTGAGCGCAATATGGTGGTGTATCATTGCAGGTAAGTTGCTGCCCTCCAGCTGTCATTATGTGATAGTTACCTTGGTTAATGGATGCTGCTGAAGACGATGACCAGCAAAGCACCAACTTCCTTCCGATGCATTGGAAGTGGCAACGCGCGAGCTAGGCCCACTGTGTTGCCAAAGTTTGCAACCTCTCATCATGGACGTCCTTTCGATGTCGCGACGCAACTTGGTAGCACTCCTCATTTTCTCAATGGGTGCTGTCCAAGTTGTGGGTTCGGCCGCGATTTTGTTGACATGTTGAGGGCGACACGGACGGCTCCACCTTGCACGACACGCTTTCTAACCATGCTGACAAACATTCACAAACGCAAGGCCACAAATAATTTTCTTGTGCAACGTGTAACAGACCATCTTCTCCGGGATTCCCCAAAGACATGATGCCCAACTAATTATTTATGGTGGACCCATTTTTGATGACGGCGAACCCATAGGCAGGATCCCAGCCTCTACTGAGTGAATCCACTAACCGGAGGCCGAGTTCTATCATGCAGACGGAGTCATCTGTACTGCAACTAGATCATTACGGGCGAAAATAAGCTTGTCTGTCAGGAGTATAGCGGGCCACTGATGAGTCTGCATGGTTGAGTAGGGTAGAAGGCATGTATGTGGATGATACATAGACTGATGGTATGGACAGAGCATTAGACAGAGCAAAACTCCTAGACTTTGGCGATGCAGAAAAAATGAGGGGGTTCCGGAAAGGATGAGGGGGATAACGAGACGAGGCCAAAGTCCCAAAGTTTTAAAATCAACGACCAGACTTGCCGCCCTTGAATTGATGCTTGCTGAATTTTGGTGCAGCGGGAGGAGGACGAGCAGCGGCAGCAACCTATGGATGATTATTAAGTCCATTGCAGGATATTCATCACCAACATCAAATCAGTCAACGAACCTTCACCTTCTCCTGTTTCTCCTTCTTGGCAGCCTTGGTTTTAGCGATGGCTTCCGCACGTATAGCCGAACGAACTTCACTCGTCTCGGCCCGTTTAGCAGCAATGATGGCCAGACTAGCACCTGTAATGCCCCGCTGATATTTCACAGTTTTGCGCGTGCGCTTCTTAACGATTGTCTCCGTCACACCCTTCCTGTGCATACGGCGGTAGAGAGTAGTCCATGCTACTTTCCGTGGGTTCTTGCGGTTGTGGAATAAGCGTTCAGTCTTGGAGTCAGAAAAGCGGAAGACCTGCTCGAGCACGATAGTTTGGCACAAAGGCGATCTCGGATATGGGGAAGTCTTACTTTCGAATCTGAACGAACGAAGAGACGCCCCTTTGCTGGGTAAACGTTGAAGCCGGAGAAAGTGTCGATATCGAGCTTCTACTCAAGGAAAGTTATATCAGCTACACCTACGCAATCCATTTCAAACAAACATACCATCTACGTGGGTCAAGTCCAGACGGAAGAACAAACGTCAGCAATCGTTCCACCAAATATCAATTGAACCAGCATAGGTGCATCCAAACGACGAAATGTCCATCCAGGCTTAACCTTCAGTTTAACACGGAATTTTCGATGCCAAATGAGTCGTACTGGTCCTACAGACCTCTAGAAGGCATACTTGAGGCAGAGAACATCGTCAAAATCTCACATTTTAGCGCCGATGATGCAAAGGGCTGGTGGTCACGAGGCTGGAATCTTATGTAATCAACCTCTATTTTAGCGCTGGGCGCGGTGACTGGCACTGCGGTTTAAATCACCCACTATGGACACGGACATCACAATCTCCAGGTCTGGGGAATCTCACCATCCGTCATGCTTTTATTCATCAACATAGGAAGCACTCTGACTTCATATCAAAGTCTACAGAAGTTCTGCGAAAGAGCTTTCAAGTTACATGGGATCACAAATGTGCTAGGATGTGCTCGGCGCCAGAGACGTTCACTCCAGGGCGAGTCTCTACCTGTGAAATAAATACATTACTACAGATGACAAGCGAGGCTGTCTGGCTTACCCCGACGCTCTTAACCACCAGGTCATCGATTATGAGAGCATACCTCCGCGTTCTCTCTCCACTCTTGAGCCCCAGCTTCGCACTCCATTCTGCGTTTGCGTCTGAAAGCATTAGGATCTAAGGACAAAGATTTCAACCAAAGCATTCAAACGAGGAAACCTGAGCCAATACCTTGTCATCGACACCTTCGACTCTCCCCCAGCCAGACATCCTATACGGGCGTGCGTCAGCGAACACCCATATCAAGGTTCGCCATCCAGCTTACACCCAAGCATCATTGAACGCGACACAGGCAACCACATCGACACCTGAAAATGTGACGTCATTATTCGAAATTCTGATGCCGCTAAGATTAACAAACCTTTCTCTTTTATCGCGTCATAACCCTTTACAAATCCAGGTAAGTGCGAGACATGGCAAGTTGGCTAAACCCATCAGTGATATCGAAGGTTGACGCGGAATCACAATCAGTTGGGGTTTCGGCTCCGAAGCGCGCATCGTCGCGATACGTACAGTAAAGGCACCTGGAACGGAAAAGAGGACGACCTTCTTCCCTTTCCAGTCATCAGTAGATAGTTTGACGGCTTTTTGGATGCAGAACAATGAGAGCGTGAATGAGTCAGTAAGTTGACGGAGCAGTCAGTCGCGTACAGGGGGTACACTCACGCACGCCACAGGCACGCTACAAGGAACAGTCGGTGATGCACACATTATCCGTCAGTATCTATTTCATTTCCTGGGTTTTTGACGGGACCAAAGTGTCGGCGCTTACCCCATCGGCAAGTTCTGGGCTGTATGGCACGTAGGAGAACGTTCCGTTGGGGATCGTATCTCCCGCTTTGATAGTGACTTGCTATAGTGCCGATGTTCAGGAGCGCCCATTTATCCAAAATATACGCACACCTCTTCTTGTGTAGTAGCCATAGTAGTACTAGTAGTGATAAGGAAGCGCGTGCTTCGGACATCGGAACCAAATCGGGCAATCCTTCAGCTGATTTTTTAGCTGCTCTTCCGGACGAGGTTGACGATGTTCTATCTCATCGGCCTTGGTCTCCACGATGAGAAAGACATCACTGTGCGGGGACTGGAGGTATATTTCCACCCAGCAGTTCGCTTGTGGTCTCTTAACTTCACATCACATCAGATCGTGAGGGCCGCCGCACGCGTTTATTTGGAATCATACACTAGTATACTCATGGTTGACAAGGATCGACTGGTAGGTGACGTGCTATCTCATGTCACTTCTCCGGAGACCCAGATCGGGACAGTTTCTAGGAAGCATTCTATGGCCGAGAAGTAATCGTCGCAGATCGCGATATGGTCGAAACTAATTCCGACAAAATACTATCTGACGCTGGGGAAGGGGACGTTGCGCTTCTGGTAGTAGGGGACCCTTTTGGCGCAACTACTCACACCGACATCCTTCTGCGAGCACGCGATCTGGACATTCCGACTCATATAGTTCACAATGCGAGCATTATGAGTGCAATAGGTGCCAGCGGACTGCAGCTATATAACTTTGGGCAAGCGGTTTCGATACCGTTCTGGACAGAAAAGTGGAAACCCGATAGTTGGTTAGAGAAAATACTCGAAAATGCTCGGATCGGACTGCATACACTGGTTTTACTGGACATTAAGGTAAAGGAGCAAAGCGAGGAAAATTTAGCAAGGTGAGAATTCCTTTGGAAATCGAACGTGTTATGCTAATTTTTTTGCGTTAGGGGCCGTAAGATATTCGAACCGCCCCGTTATATGTCTCCTGCTGTTGCACTTGAACAAATATTGGAGGCCGTATCAAACTCGCCATTGGTCTCCCAGACAAAGGGATTCGAGTCTCAACAATCTTATCACAAAGGACCCCCAAAAGTCCTCTCGCCATCGCATACTCTAGCTCTTACGCTTTCTAGAGTAGGCACCCCTCATCAAGGCATCAAAGCAGGGACGCTTTCCGATCTGGAAAAACTTTGCGAGGAAGACTTCGGACCGCCTTTGCATTCACTTGTCATTGTTGGGAGTCGACTGCACCCGGTAGAGGTTCGGTATGCAGGGAAGTGGGCCATCGAAGGAGGTAGTTGGGAACGGGTAGCAAGAGAAGTATACGGGGTGATCGACGAGTGAAGGAAAAAAGAAAAGAAAGGAAGCCTGCGCTGATTAGCTTAGGAGTACCATGTTTACAATATTACAATATCATTCGGACAACTCCGCTATTATATAAGTCAGGTTAATCGGACCCGTGACATCCTGACATCACTGCCAGTGCTTCTATCTAGAGGCTGTTTCGTGCTCAAACTCTGTTCTACTTCGGCTTCACTTTACACCTGTTGGGATTTTGCAATAGATGTCTACCGGCGCGACGGCACAGGCAGGTTTTTCGGGGCGTCATCAATGCTTGATATACTAACATATTGTCATGGAATCAATTATTCATCTCTACTCCCAGGATTCCGCTTGGAAGGACAAGGAACGTGGTGACGAGAACCGCTGGGCTCACGAGCGGGTACGCGTGTTGCTAATATTGCGAACTGTGATTATATTATAATGGAAATATAAACAGGAACAACAGCAACTAGCAGAGCTCAGAGCTAGATCGGGGGCCGAAAACGAAGTCCTCAAAGAAAGCACCGAGACGGTTAAAAGAAGGGAGGAGATCGAAGGGGGATACGGAGGGCAAGAGGACCTCGAAGATCGGTATGCTACCACGAGTGGGGAGCACTAGTACCTCACTTCTCGGCCAACGGATTCAACTGTATACTATTTGTACAAAGCTCAACACGCGTTCACGCAGCACCTATTCTTGGGTGTGCAACGTGCGGCGATCCAAACCACCCCGGTTACCGGGTACATTCCGATTCGAGCATGTATTGGCGTAATGACCATATTGACTGCACTAAAGAAGTTCGACCATTACTTAGCCTTTGGAAATGATTCCTAGAAAGTGAACCAGAACAAACCTTGAAGCATAGAACTTCGTCCAAATTCCTCCGCATCGGGGTGCCGTCTGGACCTAACGGTCTATTTTGAGGATCATTAACTACCACACCCGTTGGAATGCCAGGCCCGCCGAAACTTTGCACCTGTCCCTGCCCTTCATTCTGCATACGCAGGTACGAAGCAGGTGGTGGGCCTAGATCTCGATTCGAAGGTGGTGGTGGTGGCAGATACTCTTCTTCTTTCGGTAGACGGGGCTTGGGGCTTGGAGAAGGAAGTGTCAGACTGTGATAACACGAACGATACTAATACGTTGCTCACTGAGTTTGATCACATTTGGGTCCTAGTGGGCAAAAGCCATTGAGGTATCGTTGGCACGCAATCCGTCGGACATGTTTCCGCGGACACGTTGGTCCAAGTTCGCAAAACCCACGTTTGTAGTCCGGGCACTCAACTTTCCGTTCCTTCGGGTGGTTGTACAAGCATTCATCACCGGATGCGCAATAACCATACGTGGCAAACCACCAACATTCAGGCATTCGACGTAAATTATACTCGTGCAAGAATTCACATGTATCACCCTTCTTACACAGGCCTCGAAGCCAATGTTTGCACACCTGAGATGTTCGGGTCGAAAACATATTGTCAGGTTCCATAGGAGCCGGAAATGGATTAGCCGCTTACTGTCGATAGTCGTTCACGCTCCCGAAAACTAGTGGGAGGAGGGGGCGGAGGCTGGAAATTCAGTGCAGATGGCGTGGTGTGCCTTAATGGACACTGGGAAGCTCCCAGTGGGCAGCCACCAGGCGTAAGATTTGCTTGACAAATCTGATCATCTGGCAAGAGAACATATTAGAAACCGAGAACAACATCTCAAAACTTCAACACTAACCTTTGTCAAGCTTGAGATTGAGCTCTTTCTTGATGTGATCCTCAACCGCAAAGTTGACCTGGTGAAAGTCTGCAGCGATAACATCAAGGAGCTCTGGCGGTATCGAACGTGGCGCAGCAGACTTTATTGGGCGAGAACTAGATACAGTAGATGCCATATCTGCGTTTTTGATAATTACTGGCTCCGCCAACAAGCTGGACTCTGTGAACGATTTAGGTGATTGATGTCAGCACTTGGAAGGCTGGAAAATCGCGAAAGAGGTTTCTCACGATCAAGTGACATGACCAATTGCACCGCACAATTTTCATCTCAAGGCCCCAGAAATCCCCCGCCGAAAATTTGTTGGTAGCCATCAAGGCTTTTACATTCGGTGGCCCTGAGGCTCTCTGCACTCTAATGCATGGCGAGTGCGTTGCACCAAGCCTAGTGCCATGCCCACTGCCGAGGGTCATTAATCAGCTCGTTCTCAGTCATAGGACCAATTTTAGCTCATACCCTTGCAGAACCGTAATCGATTGCGATGGAGTCAAATCAGTTCCTGCCCAGCCCTTCCGTTGGAGCGACACCCGGGTCCGCTCCCCGTCGCCCAGGCCCAACGCCGCTTCAGCGGGACAATCCTTCTGAAGTCCCTGGAAGCGATATATACCGTGGTTCACTCCCCCAACTCCCAGAAGCGCTTCACCCGATGGTACGCGTCCGTTCGCCTGGCACAGCCTCGAGCGGGCATTCGTCCTCGTCCTCGACATCATCCGCGTCCACCAGATTGGTGGCAAGAGCCATCGCCGCCGTTGTGGAGCTCGCGATCTCTCGTTGGGCCCGATCATCTGACTCCACGTCTAGCTCATCCTCTACCACTTCTTCTACTCCCTCAGCCACCACGCGGAGGCCTCCTAGACGACGTCGTCGTTCCAGCACCGTTGCTTCTACCGTTAACATCGATCCAACACAGCGCGCACTCGCACGCCAAGCCCTTGAGAACGCTCGACGGATCCCACGAGAATTCAGCCTCCTTCTACCAACTGCTTCCGGAGTACCGTCTCAGGATGTTCCTGGTGGCCATTCGGCGCCTCAGGAAGGCTCTGCTTCTCGGCTGATTCAAACGACTTCGCTGCCCCTTATCTTGTCCAGTGTCGAGCAGGCTCTCCGTGACGCTGATAGACTTCACCGTGAACAACACAAGTCCCTTCGACCGAATTCTCGCTTCCATCGTGCCAAGCCCATACGTGCAAACATCATGTCAACAGCCACTCTGGGCTCTCCGGTCCACAACGCCGAAACTCCCCGTGCACCTTCCCCTCAATACGAGGGCAAGGCATCTGAAGGTGGGATTACGCTGGAAGTTGGTTCACGAGGCCCAACGCCTCCTGTAACCGTGGCCCCAACTACGGCGGTGCTATCTGGCTCAACGGATCCAGCGAAGAGTGTGGGACGTAATGCTCAAAAACCCTTGTCGAAACACCACCATTCTAAGCCACTCATTCGTGCGAGCATGGGGACGGATAACCTGTTGAGCACGAATCGAGGCATTCGAAAAATTGCCGTGCAGGCTACCAATGGGAATCGTTCCGGTGGCACTCCACATGTACAACCAGAAGATGACTCAACTATTTTAAGTAATTTATGGCAGAAAGCATGGTGGCTCGATGTGGCCTCTCCTACTTGGGAGGATATGCGTATGCTTGGCACAGTATGTCACTCCCTGGACTTTGGAATTCGTCCTGATCTTCCATTCGGCAGCTGCTTCATCTGCACCCACTTACATTAGAGGATATTTTGCACCAAGATCCTCGAGAAAAAGTAGAGATCTTCCCTCGCTTGGGTTATTATTTCGTCGTTATTCGTTCCGTGGATTTGAATAAGTATCTGGCTGAGAGGGATCGTGAACAGTTACCAGGAGATGATGGACAATCTCAAAACGAGGAGGAAACCCTTAATGTGACGAATGTTTATATCACTGTCTTTAGAGAAGGAATTTGTTCGGTGAGTAGATCAAGTCATATATGCTGACAATCTCACTCTTGAGTATCTCGCCAGTTCCATTTTTCGGATTTGTCGGAACATGTCAATAGAGTTAGGAATAAATTTTTACAGATGAATAACGATACCACAGTCATGACATCAGGTGCATTTACCGATTACATTCCTTTGTATGCTTGGGCATTACTGAGATGCAACCAATTCTGTAGACCATATCGCGCATGGCTTGATGGATTCCATTGTTGATGCTTTCATTCCTGTCATCAAGCGCATCGGCTCTGAGGTGGAAAATGTCGATAGGCTTGTCGCCGGAGTGCAAGATGAGGATCAAATGCTTCGTGACTGGCAAACTGCACTTCAACATGCCGAGGTTACACAACAAGTTGCAACTCCGCCTCGTGGGGTTGAGCCTGAAGCGATTGATGTCTTTCATCTTAACGAGAAAAGGAAAGAGTCACTTCCAACACCACCCACTTCTCAACCCCGTCATCGCACTTGGAATCGTGCATGGCGGCGTTCATCCTCACTAATGCAATATCTGTTTCGCCATATCAGCCGTTACTGCGCCTCTTTGGGGACCGCTTGTGCGCACAGGATCAAGAAACTTTGGCGGAGGCTTGTCTCTGCACGCATGACTGGTCGGCCAAAGTGGCGTGCTGTCAAGTTGGCAAGAGCAAAGACGCTCACAAGGATGTCTCAGACTAGGCGGACCGTGACATTACTCGCAAGGCTTCTTGCTCCCAAGAATGAGGCACTTGGAATACTGAGGAAAAGGCTGACGGGTGTCGCTGACTTAGGAGCGCACTTAGACGACGTCCAAGGTGAGCTTACTGACTGCTGAGTCAATGTCCGCGCAGGCTGACGAGTCACTAATACGCAGACCATCTCTTGACAATGCAACAGTCTTTGGTGTATTACGAAAGAGTGTTGGCCCACTCTCAGCCAACATACCTCTCGGGACTTCGAGTGAACCTTGCTCAGGCTACGAATCGAGCAGATTCGACGCTCTGGAAGCTTAGTGTTCTCCTAACGGCCATTTACTGCATGCAGGTAGTCATCGGTGCGTTTCCCTCCTGATTTTTGCTTGTATGGGTGATTGAACGACTGTTTAAACTAGGTATCTTCAGCATGAATGTTCATGTACCCCATAACCATCGTCCTAAAGATGACCCGTTGGGTGCACCAGTTGGACATTTCTATTTGTTTGGGGTCGTGCTCAGTGTGAATGTTCTGGCGGCAATTGGGGTGTTTTGCGCCACTTGGTGGTGGTGGAAGCAAGCGAAGCGCAAGAGAGGACGACGGCTGCTGTAGTTTGTTGCCTTTATGAGCTTGTCCGTCTGAGTCAGCTGCGTCCGATTTTTCCCGCAATATATTCCGTTATTCTCCTGTCGCTGCAGCTTCACAGAGCGCATTGGGCTCTCCGGGTCTAAGATCTTGCAAAGGAATGAAGAAAGTTGGACGTCGTCAAGAGTCCCTTTGGTGAATGGGGATGGTACCAGAACATGAAGAATGTAGGCAGCTCTCTATTGGAAGGTAGACGCATTCCGTCCTAGTTTCAACCTCGAAGAGGAGGATCAGGGCCCTGATAGGGACGACAGCCGCTGTTGATGTCTCTCACATGCCTTCTAATTTCTAACGTACGCCGTGGCCTCGATCCTCGCTCTGCATGGTCCACACATGACAGTACGTTGTCGCGCATGGACATTTATATCTTGAATGACTGTTATTTCCTTTCTTGTAGTCTTGCTACGTTGATGGACACGGTCGTGGATGGCTTAAAAGCCACTTCGCGCGATTTTCCTCTCCTCACATCTGGAACTGAGGTGAGATAACCTTTGCCTCTTTGGGATGTACTTTGTATGTATTTTCCTAGTGCTATACTTCTTATTCACCGCGATTGATGCGTCTTACATACTGTGTCTAACACTGGCAGGTGAATCTCTACTTTAGCAGGAGCCTACAGCGAATCCACAAACGTGGATTCGCCTCGCAACTGCATTTGATGTTGGAGAACACAACGATCGGTTCCGTCATCCGACTGTCAATAACATGGTTATTGACATTATTGACAGCGATGAACATTTCAGGTATTGGACGATGTTTTGGGGTTCAACTGATCCGGCGACGGAGATTTTGAATTGAATCGAAAATGAATTGAATTCATTTTTGTGCTCACCGGCAACTCCCGGATGCCGTGGGAATGAACTAATAGTCGTATTCGTGTGTAAAAAGAGAGGATTTTTTCACCCCCTCTCCCTTGTACGAGTCTGAGGTGAAATTTTTCCTTTATCATTTCAATAATTGCTCTATATAAATGTTACTCTGCATCACTCTGCACTGCAGAGTGACTCTTCCGTGGCAATATCAGTACATAAGATCTCGACGCTGAAATTAGTGTATGCCATGATCTTTCCTCTTTTATCCTTTACGTACATATGTCTGCTTACTCGCTCCTCTTCATTACTTTGTTATCTTCACTCTAGTATGTATGTATTTACGTATTGAACGCGCCATAGCCCTTTATATTTTAAGATTTGATACTTCGACTACCACATATCCATATCAATGGCATTTTGATCGGTCTACCTTCTGAGATTGCGCTAGGAGAAAGGGGTCGCCTTACATAAAGAAGCGTTTGTGTGTTGTACAAATGTGACAAGTTGCATGTTCAAGCGTGACGCAACATTTTTTTTTCCCATTTCTTAGCAGTAGCTTTCGCGAATCGCGATACAGTCATTTACGCCGGCCCCGGTCCTTGCTCTCTAGCCGTTGTCCGGAAACCTTTCTTCGTCATGCAAGTTCCCACTCCAGGTGTGTAGGATCAGCTTGGCTAGCAGGGCCATATTTTTTTCGATTCGGCAGCGCGATGTCTTGCTGGAATTTGTCGTTTCAGGGCACTTCTCACTTCTCTCAGAGAGGTTTGCGGGAGGTCGGGGTTCATTACTCTGCGGACAAATCGGTATAGTATTTTTCGATCCCCCGTTATCAGTCTTTGTTTGAGTGATCGGTGCTGGTGATGCGACATTCTGCTTGTGGACCAACGATACCCCTAGGCAGATTACCAGCTGTTGAAATAACCACCTCAGCCTAACAGGGCGTATGGTGTAATGGCTGTGCACACTGTGTTCGCGATCCAGAAGACTGGAGTTCGATTCCCAGTATGTCCAACTTTTAGGTTTCCCTAAAAGACCACGTGCAAATTCCAACACCAGCCTCTATTCGATACCGCGCCATTCTTCGATGACCAGCACAAGGGGTGTTGTACCTATGACGACGTGCCGGCACGCATATCAGTTATTGGTATTGCTCCACGGGGCACCTGTTTTACTCGCTACAATGTTCCACGTGAGCAGTGCGTACCATGCGCTCTCCATCTACATATTACTTTTGTCTAATCTTTCTACACCGCTAGCTACTTATACCCCGCGCGCGGTTACAATGTCATGATATCTTGTCCCCCCTCACGTTCGACTCGCCGAGAGCCACATAACAAGCGGAAATGGGCCTGACGGCACACCCAATATCAGACCCAACTTACGGATATATTCCTTCCGCAGTCGCCCAAGGCCTCACCCAGCACACGCAAGCATACACGAAGTGTCACAGCAGCACTTCCCCATATCCTTGATTCTCCGGCTGGTGCTTCGGTTATTCTAAAGCCAGGATGACATCTGTCTTCTCCCCCGCTGTAATGGGCACTCCGAAGGGCCCTCCGATTGTCGACGTAAGCAGTTCCAAAGCATCGGAAGCTTCTCCCAGAAACCCTAGCATCTAAGAGTATTCTCTTCTCAGCTGTACCCGGAAAAGCAGGAAATTTTTTAATGAAATGGGGAAAAACAAATTCCCACGAATTGTGCAAGCAAGGCAACAAATTGTTCTCGCCTCAAAGTTGTGATCGCAAAGAAAACCTAGGCAGAAGGCTTGTTTCATCTCGCGAAGCCTTTCCTACTGGGGGGTGATGCTATTATAATAGCCAGTCGAGCGCGTACCCAGGCTCGTAATCGAGGACTGAGGGTATCACAAGCTGTGCTCTTATATAGCGCAGCGTTACTATTGGTCAAGCCCAAGCCGGCAATAAACTTTTGATCAATAAGGTTAAGGGTATTGGCGGTAATCGCATCATGGAAAGTAGAACCCATCACATAAAATATTAACGTTACCGTTGACTTTCCAAGAGATATCCCCGAAGCTCCAGAAATCCCCATTGTCGAGCTGGCGGGGGATTTGTCGTTAGCCATCAAGGCCTTTACATTCTTTGGCTCTGCGGTGCTCTGATTTATGGCGAGTGCGTTGCAAGCCTAGTGTCATACCCAGGGGAATCAATCAGCGCGTTCTCAACCAGAGGACTAATTCTAGCTCATACCCATAATGGAATCTAATCAGTCTCTGACTAGCCCTTTCGTTGGAGCGACACCCAGGTTTCCCCGTGTCCCTGGTCCGACGCCGCTTCAGCGAGCCAGTCCTTTTGAAAACCCTGAAAGCGATATATACCGTGGCTCAACCCCCCAACTCCCAGAGGCGCCCCGTCCGATCGTACGCGTTAGTTCACCTGACACAGCCTCGAGCAGGCATTCATCCCCTTCGACACCATTCGCGTCCATCAGATTAGTTGCAAGAGCCATCGCTGCCATAGTGGAGCTTGCAATCCCTCGCTGGGCTCGACCATCTGCCTCCACAACTAGCTCATCCTCTACCACTTCTTCCGCTCCCCCCGCCGCCACGTGGAAGTCTTCCAGACATCGCCGACGCCCCAACATCGTTACCTCTACTGTTAACACCGATTCAGCACAGCGCGCACTCGCTCGCCAAGCCCTTGAAAACGTTCGACGGATCCCACGGGAATTCAGTCTGCTTCTGCCAAATGCTTCCGAAGCCCGGTCTCAAAACATACCTTCTTCATTCCCTGGTGGCCGTCCAGTGCCCCAGCAAGACTCTACTTCTCGGCTGATTCAAACGACCTCGCTACCCCTTATTTTGTCCAGTATCGAGCGGGCTCTCCGTGATGCTAATAGACTTCGCCATGAGCAGCACAAGTCCCTTAGAATGAATTCTTGCCTCCATCGCGCCAAGCCTGCACCTGCAAATTTCCTACCGGCAGCTGTTGTGCACTCTCCCGCCGAATCTTCCCACGCACGATGTGGAGAGAAGGCATTTGAAGGCGGAACTACAACTACGTCGCCACGGGTCGGTTCACGAAGCTCAGTGCCCCCGGTAACCGTGGCCCTGACTAAGTCGATGTCGCCCGCGTCAATGGACTCAGTGCCCGAGATGAAGAACAAAGGAGGTCACGCTGAAAAGCCCTCGTCGAAACATCATCATTCTAGGCCCCTCATGAGTGCGGGCATCGGGACGGGTAATTTTTCGAACACGAATCTGGGCACTCGAAAACCTACCACGCAGGCTACTACAGGGAATCGCTCCAGCGGCACTCCACCAGAAGTTGACTCGACTATTTTGGGTAATTTATGGCAGAAAGCGTGGTGGCTCGATGTGGCCTCTCCTACTTGGGAAGATATGCGTATGCTTGGCACGGTACGTTGACTTACGTGAAGAATCCCGGCCGTCGTAGTGACCTTCCATTCTGCAGCTGCTTCATCTGCACCCACGTACATTAGAAGATATTTTGCAGCAAAACCCACGGGAAAAAGTGGAGATCTTCCCTCGCTTGGGTTATTATTTCGTTGTTATTCGTTCCGTGGATTTGAATAATTATCTAGCTGAGAGGGATCGTGAACAATTAGGGGATGATGGACGACCTCAAAACGAGGAGGATATCCCTAATGTGACAAACGTTTATATCACTGTCTTTAGAGAAGGAATTTGTTCGGTGAGTAGACCAAGTCATATGCACCGACGTTCTCACTAATGAGCATCTCGCCAGTTCCATTTTTCGGATTTGTCGGAACATGTCAATAGAGTTAGGAACAAAATTTTACAGATGAATAACGACACCACAATCATGACATCAGGTGCATTTACCAATAACATCCCTTTGTATGCTCAAGATGCAACCAATTCTATAGACCACATCACGCATGGCTTGATGGATTCCATTGTTGATGCTTACATCCCTGTCATCAAGCGCATCGGTCATGAGGTGGAAAATGTCGATAGGCTTGTTACCGGAATGCAAGATGAGGATCTAGTACTCCGTGACTGGGAAACTACACTTCAGCACGCCGAAGCTGCCCGGCAACGTGAGGTCGAGCCTGAAGCGATTGAGGTCATTGTTGATCTCAACGAGAAAAGGAAGGAGTCACTCCCGATATCGCCCACTTCTCAACCCCGTCGTAGCGCTTGGAATCATACATACCAGCGTTCATGCTCGACACTGCAATATCTGTTTCGCCCTATCAGCTGTTACCTCTCGTCCTGCGGGTCCGCCTGTGTGCACAGGACCAAGAAACTTTGGCTGAGGCTTATCTGCCCACGCCTGACTGGTCAGGCAAAGTGGCGTGCTGTCAAGTTTGCGAGAACACAAACTCTCATAAGGATGTCTCGGACTAGGCGGACCGTGACGTTGCTCATAAGGCTCCTCGCCCCGAAGAACGAGGTACTTGGGATACTGCGGGATAGATTGACGGGTGTCGCAGACTTAGGAGCGCACTTAGATGACGTCCAGGGTGAGCTTACTGACTAGCGAGTCGATGTCCAGGCAGGCTGATGGACCACTAATACGCAGACCATCTCTTGACAATGCAACAGTCTTTGGCGCATTACGAAAGAGTATTGGCTCACTCTCAGCCAACATACCTCTCGGGACTTGGAGTGAACCTCGCTCACGCTACGAATCGAGCAGATTCAATGCTCTTGAAGCGCAGTGCTGTCCACACGGCAGATCACTGCATGCAAGTGGCTACCGGTGCGTTTCCCTGCTAAATTTTGCGTGTGTGAGTGACTGAACGACGGTTTCAACTAGGTATCTTCAGCATGAACATTAATCTCCCGTTGAGTACACCGGATGGACGTTTCTATTTGTTTGGGGCTGTTTTCGGTGTGAATGTTCTGGTAGTAATTGGGGTTTTGTGTGCCATTTGGTGGTGGTGGAACCAAGCGAAGCGCAAGAGGCTGCTGTAGTTATCGTTACCTGTCCGTCCGGTGTTCGACTTATCCCTTGTTATTTCCTGTTGCTGCAGCTCCCTGGGTGTGCATTGGTGGACTCTCCAGGGTCCGAGATCTTGCAAATCAATGAAGAGACCGATGGGGTCCTTGATGAATTGTTCAATTTCGGGAGGGTCCTTTAAGATGCAGCGGTGCACGTGACTAGAACTCGTACATATCTCCTTCCCTCTTCACGCTGCCATCCACCCACAGAACATCCCCTTGGGTTTTGTTCACCATGGACACTCTCAGGCGCTCCCCCCGTCACCACCCGTCCGTTTCTTACATCGTCCCTCGTAGCCTGAAAGTCAAAGCAGCCCAACTAAGGTGCGACACCGAGTCCGCTCAGATGCACCACGCAATCGATCCTCATTTCACGCCCATGAACAGCTGGGAAGAAAACGATGGTTCTCTCCTTGTCACTCTTCTATCGTGCATGGAGTCTAATCGTCGATGGCGCTTTGGGATTTTCCCGGCGACCAATTCCCGCCAACGGTCCAGTGCGCACAGCACCAAGGTCAAGTATTACGACGAAATCGCCCGTGCCATGTTTTCTCGCCACCCCAACCTTCATTACCGTAGTGCTTACAGGAAGAAACCCGCCTCATTCGCCAGAGCCGTGAAGGATAAACTTGAGAGGTGAGCAGTTGACTCCTGCTGCCCCCTGCATGCATGTTCATGCGCGAATTTCCCTTGCCTCATCACTTCCCATCGAATAGCTTCTCTCCTTCGTGTCGTGTAGACCTTCCGAGGACTTCAGGAAAGTCGGTTTATAGATCCGTCCAGAGTGTGTCACTCCTCAGCTATCGTAGTACGGAGGCATGGACCCGTGAGTAGCGCCCTCATCCCGTATTATCTTCCTGGCTATTCTTACATCGTTTTCTTTCCTTTCCGCTAGATCTCCGGCAATCGTAAGTCGAGCCTTGACCGTCGTCGGGGGCATGAATCTCACCTTCCCCGTTTTAGCACATTCGGGCAGATCGGAAATCATTGCGAGCCTCTCTGGCTTCCCAGCCTTCCATTGGAAATCCAGTACATTGTCCTGAGGCTTGCTATCGCCGCTGACCGTGGCCTCGACTCCATTGACCTTCCCGTGGCAGCAAACCTCTCCCTTGTGAACCGAACCTGGTGTCAATTTATTGAGCCATTCCTGTATAGGACTGTTACCATCAGAAGCCCTAGCCGTTATAGAGCGCTTTTCGACCTCCGAAGTTCGCTCGCTCGACCAGAGGGCCCCGTTAACCACACTAAGATCCTCAAGCTCTTTGTCCCTCCCCCAGACGACTATATGATCCATTCCTTCTTCGTACCCGCATATTCTCTCCATCGCCACATCCCTGAAGTGCATTACGACGTCGCTTCTTCTCGAAATTATTTCCCCATTGTGAAGAGGCTTCCACGGGAGACTCACGTGCAAGAATTTTCAAATTATTCATCTATGCTTTATCCGCTTCTATTAGATATGCGGACAACAAAGCTGCACCTGACGATGAGCTTCCCGATGAGCGAAGGCCCGGAGGATGAGCTATCACTATGGGGCGAGGTGATGAGCGGTCACATCGCGGTGCTTAAGCTCATGGTTCATTTGCGTGAACTCATCATTGATGGGGCGCTGTATTTGACTTTGCTTCCTAAATGCGTGCATAAGTGAGTCAGCACTGATACCCAAGTTCTTTTTTCATCGTTTGACTGACCATGTCGCAGTTGGGCCATTGGATCAAGCTGGGAAGCCATCCTATCCGTGTTAAGAGCCGACGATGACGGCGTCCCAACCCTTCTAGACGGTACTTGCTTGACAAAGGTAACCATCGTTCCTTCCCACATGATTTGCAGTCTCCATACATTCATTTTCTCGTTCTCACATGCGCATATTTCCCCAGATAACATTCATTCATGCGCACGTACCTACGCTAGCTTTTCTTGCACGTATGGCGCTTACGAAACGCATCACGAACATCACACTCACTGGATGGAACCGGCCTGACTTACCACGTGCTTGGCGCGAGTTCATTAACCGGGAGCGAGAAGGAGGTGATGCCGTTATCCATTGGTTAGAATGACACGTTTTCTGCGTGTTATTCTTCGGGATGCATCATCCGCACTTTCACCAAATCTGCGCTTGCACTCAAACTTCACCCTTTTGACCCTCCCTCCGTATGGAGTGGATCCCATTCAACCCTGCTTGCATAGCCTTACGCGGATACCGGTATATTCGTTGATCATATTCTTGGAAAAGGAACTGCTCGAATTCCAACCCACACGTCCACTGTATTTCCATTCTTACCCTATACCTATCTCGTAATATTACCCACGACAATTCCCCAATATCCCTATCATCCCTTCGTTCCGACGGCGTATTGATTGCTGACCGAACCTTCAAACATCGTCTTCTCTCCATTCTATCATCTCCTTTGATTCACTAAATCCCCTTCCCATTCTGCCGTGTGCCATGACTTTCGCTTTTTTATCCATGTCCATTTCCTTCGCAGCTTTCATTTTTCGCCTTACTGACATTCATATTCGTCTTTTGCATGCATCTCCCACCACCTCTCTCTCCATCCTAAACGTCGTTCACTCGCGTTGTTGCAATAGAGATAGCAGAAAGCTATCCCTATACCTTCGTCATATTATTCCATTTTCTTGGTACTGGCGTATAGTGGCTTCATCATCTCCCTGACCTGGATTTGTGTACTATACTCGATTTGTGTCTTGGTGTTGTACATAAGAATGGAGAAGCAGGAAATCGATCGCGGATTCTGTGTTTCAAGGAGCGTTGCGGTAGTAGGGGCATTATGCAATGTCACAAGGCCTGGGCGCTCGGTCCAACGATCGCCCAAGATGTTACTTGACGATATTACTTGCGCCTCTCGCAGCTAAGTACGCTTGTTGAGCCGAAGGATTCTGTAAAATGGGTGTGACAACCTGTCGAGAACGATGGAAAATTAGATAAACAACTGACCAAGGATTTGACGACTTCGTATACGCTCTGGTCATGGTATCGTAACCCTGACGTTGGATGCGTGTAAGGTCCCTGGTGAAGCGGGGTCAACTTTTGGAGACGATCGTATATAGACAGGGACCCACTTCTAGGCCAGTTATGTCACAGTACTTTCCTTGAGGCAATATTGAGGGAGGGGCTTCAACGGTGTGATCTGCGATAGTAAAGGTTAGAATGTAAGAGGACACCGACGGGCTTTGTACCGCCAAGCCTCTAGAAACAAAGGAGCCATACAGAACACAACATCCTCCTCTCGGCTTTTGGGGACCTCTCCATCCACTTCCGGGGCTAATTGCGCCTGCTCTCGATAAAATTTCTCCCTCTCCCGGTCACTAGCTAAGATTTGTTTCAGCCCTCGACCACGTTTATTTGCAGCCCCTTGCCGACTGCTCGACCAGCTAGGATTCTTGAACGGTCGTGGATAGTCAAGAAATGAGAGCCTTTCAGCTAAAGACTTACAAGGATTACTGCTAAGTAAATGTTTGTACAATGGAACAAGATACCGGTGCTTAGAACTCACAGGCTCAGTGGTTCCACCATCATCAGCAGGCTTCTTCTTTGCTTTGGGAGCCCTTCATCAGATGCGTCAGATTTTGAAGTTACATTCGATGAATCGGCATACATGGCACCCAGATTTGCTGTCACGGTCCAAATTTGAATACAAATTACAATTTTGAATGAATGAGATCCATAACGTCAAGTGATTTGTCTCCGAAAACGGGAAGCATCCTTCAATAAGCTCCACGTCTCTAAGTAAACGCACCTGGCTCTGTACGTGGCTTGAATGATTGTATAGGACCACACCACGCCTATAACTGGCTCAAGAATACCATGGGCTCGTCCGAGAAACGCGCTGGGACATCAGCCTGGATGGCCACGTTGACGGTTGTCTGCATGCTCCGTTATTGCATTGGGTCACTCACGCCCAATGAGCACTCGCCACACCGACAGAACACCTGCCGCATGACCGTCCAAGACCAGTTCCGACCCATTATTACTATCCATAGTCCCGTTTGCTCCGTATCGGACATTCCTGTGGCCATGACGGATGACTTCCCGTCGTTCGAGGAGTGGAAGCGCTTGAGATTCTCGCAGACGCCTAATAAGTCTACTGATGATAATATGGAATCTTCCAACGCAGGTGGACCCGAAGATGCTCATATAAACTCTCACGCTGGGTCATCGGCCTCACCCAAAACGCTCGAAGACATAGTGCCAACATTACGAGTCCCACTCACTGACAGGTTCAACTATGCATCGGTTGATTGCTCGGCAAGAATACATTCTTCCCACAAGGAATCAAAGTCTCCCGCTTCCATTTTATCTCCTAAGCGTGACAAGTACATGCTCAGTCCCTGCGCGACACCCGGTAAATTCGTCATTGTTGAGTTATGCGACGATATCCAAATAGGTATATTTGCGCTTCAGGATCCGGGTCTGTAATTTACTGAACTACCTTATAGACACCATTCAACTGGCAAATTCTGAGTTTTTCTCCGGGGTATTCAAGGACATCTCCGTCAGCGTCAGCGTGGAGCAAAAGCATTGGAAGCACGTTGGTACATATAGTGCCAAGAACATCCGCACAGTTCAGGTGCCTCGGGTCTTTCTCCTTCAGGTGCTCTCTCTCACAAGCTATTCTTTAGTCGTTCCACCCTCCACCAGATCCCCACTTTTACCGTTATGTCCGCATTGATTTCTTGTCGCACTACGGCTTGGAGTACTACTGCCCGGTCAGCCTTCTGCATGTTTATGGGCTTACACAAATGGAAGAATACAAATGGAACGAATGGCAAGCTGCAGGGCGAAAGGAACGTGAAGCTGGTGCAGAAGCGGAGTATTTGGAGCTTGCGCACAGCCAAACAGAATTAATCAAATTGACCAGCACCGCCGTAGGTGCTACGTCGTCCGTCAATATAGGGCCGACAGAATCCACGCCTGCGGAGAGGTCGACCTCGGGCCAGGACACTGTTGCTGAGGCATCCAATTCCGCAGCTGCCAGTGCTACGTCCGCCGTTGCCGCTGATATCCAGTCAACGCACACCCATACTCCAATTATTGTGCCAACCGAGACATTAGCAGCTCCAGAGGCTGAAATCGATGATATAGTGAATCAAATCATGACTGGAGGGCCCGTATATGCGTACGCTGCGGACGGGAAATGTGAGTTAGTTGGTTCACATCATCAGTTCACGTCTCTGACTACTCGACAGCCAACGCTTCCAGCAACATTCCAGCAGAGTCTGAGATTTCATCGACCGCACCATCTGCACCCGATCCAGCTGCCTCTGCCCTCCAATCTACCGCCACTCATGCATCTCCTTCGGAGTCCTCAACTCTTGCGCCGCTTAATTCAACAGCAGTACGCTACGTACGCTCTCCGACAGATTCTTCGACTTTGCGGTCCACTCGTCCGTCTTCCTACTCACCATCCCCATCGCTAGCAACCGGGGAGAGCGTGTATCGTAATATAATGAAACGACTTGTTGCCCTGGAATCGAATAGCTCCCTGAGCGTAAAATACATTGAGGATCAGGCGAAATCTGTCCGAGAGGCCCTGAAGAAGCTCGAGGATGATGTTGGGAAGCTACAGACTTCGGTGGGATCATCTACACTGCCGTGTCACGCATCAGGCTCATTATTTTGGTGATAGCATCAGCTTGCGCTTCGGAAGGCATTGTTGGAGCTTCGGAACCAGAAACGGGACATGGAAGTACAGAGGATGGAGTTCGTGACTCAGCTTCATACCTTGTCAAACGAAGTTAGGTATCCGGAAATCAGCTGAATCGCAGATCTGATAGGCCTATTTCTTTTAGATTACTCTTGAAAAACGACTAGGGGTTGCTCAATTGTGTCTTCTTCTAATGGTTCTGGTTTTCATGACATTTACACGCGGTGCAAGCCCTGGAGGCTCGCTGTTTGACGAGCTTTCAGTTCCAAAAAATTCCATGCGCACCGGTAGACGACCAAACCTGTTCTGGCGTGCCAATGGGCTAAGGACAAACTCCGAGCCGGAGAAGCCAAATTCATCCTGTACGTCCTGTTTCCAATGCTCGTGTCACTTGACGACATAACTGACTAAGAGTGTAGCAACTCTCGCTCAGCAAGCAGGGACGCCTTCCATCCAAGGGAGAACCCCAGCATCTCTGCCTAACATTCGGGCCGTCCCCGCAAAGGACGTCCGGGCGCCTCAGCTCCCCTTGTCTCGCTCCTCTGCCACAAAGATGGTTGACATTCAACCACGTGCACCTGTGCTCCTCTCGCCCTTCCCTGAGCAGTCCCGAACATCCCGAAGCAAATCACATCTTCGAGGCTCCCCACACACACCACCTTCATACTCATATCCATCTCTCGCTGAATTGACGCCCAACATCATCACAAACAACGCGCCAGGGAGTTCGCGGAAAGCGCTTGCCAAAACATCACATCTTCATGAAACATGGAAGCGCCAACGAGTGTCTTCGTTTACCAAATCGATCATGCTCACGCCATCAACACATTTGACATCATCCACTGCCGATGAAAATCGCGAAGATGTATTCATGTCAGGTGGAGGCAAGCTTAGACCCAAAGGGCGACACAGAACCAGAGTAAATGGGTCCTTGGATATCTCCATAGGTGGTTCGCCGCGAACTAGAGCAAAGGCGAGGGAGTTGCAAAGCGTTTCATCATCGCCCAGGTTCGATCCTCATCGATCCTCTCCAGACTCCCCCCGCGGTTCTGTCCTCTCTGCGCGTTCAACCCCACCTCATCCCAAATTACAAACCACCCGAGGCGCCAACGAAAGCACAGATGACACATGGGAGGATACGTCTTCCGCTGGCGAGAATGGGGACGATTCCACCGTTGATATGACCTTGACCAAATCGCGGCATTTACCAAGTCAAATCATTCAGAACTCACTAAGCGACGCTCAAAGTGAATGCACAATGAGCCAGCCGCTTCCGGTACTTCCTAAACAAGAGTTGGCCCCGGAAAGGGTCTTGACCAACTTCCGGAAGGAAGATCCGGTTGCGCTGTACTTCGTTACTGACCACACGGCTGCGAGCCTGAAGGATTCCCCATTGGCACCCCCTCTTCACGAAGGAAACGCACAGTTACCTGCTAATCCCTCGACAAGTTTATCATCAACGGAGCGATGTGTTCTGATGACACCCCCTCACTAATCAGAAGCAGTTGACCGGTTGACCGAACATGATTGATATCCGTCCCCACCTCTTACGCATTCCATGAACATTTTTCGCATGCTTTCAGTTCATGCGACCTTCCCCAACCTCTCCAACTCATGCATTCAGATATCCTCTCCATACATGCCATCTATATTACCGCCTCCTGGTCAATTATTGCACCCGTGCACTCCACTGTTTAGCGGTCCAGTACCGGAGCTGTGTAGAAGCAGTGATGAACTATTTCATAAGTGTCTGGCGCGCCATCTACCACGAAGTGTGTGCCTGAAGATATTCTGGAGAAAAGTGTATCACATCCACAGGGACCTTGGAAGCGCTCTGTGCCTACCACGTGTGATCTCAAAGGCTGGATGACTCAGGGGGTCAGAAAATGACTGCGAAATAGCTAGCTAACTTACTGGCGAAAGTGACGGCAGCTGCCGGGATGCTGCGAAAGACCAATGGTAAAATGAGTGTCGCAATTCCGAAAGGCGTGACAGTTCTACCCACGTTCGTATCACTGACGAAGATCCATGTTATAGGAGTGAGATGTTCAGCACATTTTCGAAACGCTTGCAGACGCACAAGATGGAGTCAGCCCGCGATACAACCCCTTTCTGTGGACATATGAAAACCTAGAATTTAGCACAGGAGAAGCACCTACATTCCGCCTTCATGGTATACGGTACCAAGCTCGCGTGCAATGTAGGTAAGACCCCCGGTGGGCGGTTTGGGTGCCAGCTGAACGCGGGACTTGACAACATCTACACAAACGCTGTAAGAGTGATGTGGAACAAAAAAGGATGATATTACCACGCACCTAATGGATAACAAGCCAGCCAATATGATATCTAGGAGGTTGGCTGCAAGGTTAACTCGGACCCCTGGGGAATGATGTACATACACCACCACAAGATCCACTTGCTAGTAAAGCCCAGATGGGAAGGTTCTCGCCATATCTGAACTTAAATTGTCTCTTGGTATACTCGTAACCGGAATAAAATCTGGACATCGTAATCAGACGATCTGAAGCATGGCTGTCATGACAGTCTTTGCTTACCCTGCGTATGCAGGTATTTCTCTTGCCACTGTCACCTACAGTTCGGCTGCCCTTCGAGATAGTCGCATATGAGATGAAGAGAGAGATGGCCGCACCCAAAACCCTCGCATGATTCCTTTGCGGAAACCCCATTCTTTCCACAAGTCTCTAGCGACACGAGACAAGCGTTTGTCGTCAGCACCACCGTATTGACCCTGCATTCGAATTTTGAAAAGTTCGACTGAACGTTGGAGATTGAGAACTCAGCATGACTAGAGAGGGTTTGCATCTTACCTGGCCCAGCGAGAATCGAGTTCACCGCGCCAGCCATCCCCCCAGCAACAGCTGTTTGGGCTATTGATAAATCAGGGAATGGTGAGATCATTTTGCGGGAGACGCCATAAGCACCAAAGAGCAAAGAGTTGACTCCCGAAATCCCGATCAAAGGAGACAGCGTCCCTGCTCCACGGTCAGACGACATATCCTGTTTAGCCCGACCAACATGCCTTTATACAAAGCAAAAAAGCCCTCCTTTCGAACAGTCTGGATGAGAATATCCATCGGACCTTTCTAGCAATGACGGACTTTGGATTCCACCATGCCCCATGTTTACTGGACGTGCTTACAAACATTCCCTCTAAGCAAAATTTCAACTAAAAAAACTGAACAACGCGCGTTTAACGTACTCGATGCTACCTGTGCTCTGGTCTTCACTGTGTCGAGGGGCTGCCCGACAAGAACTTGAGCTGCACCCGCTACCGAGCCTGATATTAACTCAACAAGGAGCGACGGGCGTCGCTCCACGCGACTGTCGCGTACTGCGCGTTCAGTCCCCTCTTTGCTCATTGCGCTTGGGTTGATCAGCTCTATTCGATCACCGTGGGAACTTCCTACGATCTCGTGATAATGGTGTTCACTTCGTCGACGCCGATCGACGATCGTGCCAGTCTCAACAAGGCTATCGAGTCAACAAAGCTTGAAAAAGCAGATATCGAGGGAATACGAAATACGACGTACGCCCCCCAGGCCTTCGACACCTCCCCAATTCACACATTTTTTTCCTCTAAAAGGGCTGTGTTAGCTAGGTACACTCAAGAGAAATCCAGGCCTCTCTTCGATGCGGAAACACAATGCATTCTTGCAGTCCCTAAACCATTTGAAACTACACCACTCTCTTCCTTTGACTTCTTGAAAGACCTCCTCTCGAAGGCTCAAGCGGGAGCTGTTAGCCTATCATGTTCCAGCATTCTTGCTGGTCGTTCAAGCGATTCAGACGAGTTCTCAGATGTTGCTTTCTATGCAGGAGATCTCGAGGATGAAGGACGGGTGGAGGAAAGCACTATTAGCAAGCTTGGTCTATCTAACTTGTTAGAAGTGGGAGAGGTCAGTTCGATTTGCAACACTAAACCACGGAAGAATCCCATCGATATAACCTACCGGGGTCCAAAATGCAGATTATCCCCGTGAAAACGGATGCCAACACCTTAGCAGCTGTCTCAGCCATCCCACAAAAGGATGTCGAAGCCTGCTCCAACGAGATATCGCTTTTCAACCAAGCATTATCCAAGTTGGATTCACGCTTAGAATTCACCGTTGAGCTCCCGGGTGATGAGGAAGGCCATGTTATCCACTTTGTTGTAGGGAAGTATGAGGAGAAGTGGTGCGGCCTGACCACAGCTAGCATCCAACTGGAATGAATCAGCCACTCGAATTTGTGGTATTGACAAATTTAGAGCCCCGTACGCAATAATTGTACGACACAAATTGGGCCTCTAAATGGCGTTTGTGCATCATCGCTGACAAGCTTCCTACCCCCTCGGGTGAACAAGTGTGATGAATTCATTCTAGAGTTCGGAACTGTGCCTATCGGCATATGTGGCTAGGGTGAGGAGTGGGTGAGAGGAGCATGTAAAGCAGTTGTGGATATCTGGGTCATCAAGTGCGGAAGCGCGGAGCGTCTGGTGCTGAGAATCAACATCACGTGTTTTTGATTTCTTGACGCAACTTACCGCAAAATTTCGGTAATTGCACACTCGGCGCCTATACTCTAGTTCTTCGTAACGGCACTAGTGATTGCCTGGACCAGTTCTTACCGTGGGGATGATGGCCACTCGGTCTATGGTATCGCAGCTGGCGTTCCATTCAAAGCGTTTCCCTCGGTCTCTCACTCGAGGGCCAGCCATCGTTTCTCATAGAGTACCACATTATAGACTACTATTAAGCACGTCTGCTAGGCTGCGTAGCCCGAGCAATAATACTCCTCAAAATAGCTCATCATCAAAACCTATAAAATCGAAACCCCCCATAAATACAACGGGAAGCACGTCACACACTTCCATTCCCACTTCGAATCCTTCCCCCTCATCCGCTGTTGCTCCCTCCTCGGATACTTCTTCACCCCCCTCAAGTATTCTACCTTCTTTGGACTTCACTTCTGAAGAACCTCTCCACCCTCAAACAACTGGTGCCAGGTCTGCAGGGCAGTCTCTTTCCAGTATCGAACGCAAGAAGAAAATATATTCCCGTGTCGGCATAGCTATGATAGGTCTTGGGCTCATTGGGTCATATATATATGCTGGAAGAGAGTGGGGGGAGAAAGAGAAAATTCCAAAAGTATGTAATGCCCTGATTTGTCGGTCACAGAGCTCTTGCATTAAAAACTTCTTCTCAAGGGTGCAGAAAAATCAGGCTTTTTTGGTCGTGCAAGCGCCAGAATATCCCGTAATTTTGACGTGCGTCTTTGATCTCGTATGCTTTAATCTAGCACTGATGATATTCGTTGGGGGGAATACCTTAGTACTTTGACAAGCCTGCGTGGGACGAACTTCTGCCCCCTCCACTTCCACCACCGCATGGTCGACCCTACACGCTAATTTTGTCACTCGACGACCTACTTGTTGCTTCAATGTGGGACGTAAGTCGCCAAAACCGCTTCAACTTCGCCTAATAATCCATTCGTGGCTCAGAGGGAGAATGGTTGGAGGACAGCCAAACGTCCTGGCGTGGAATATTTCATTGGTTACCTGTCGCAATGGTTCGAGGTTGTGGTCTTCACGTCCCAGATATCCTTCGTAGGTATCTGAAAAAAAAAACGATGTGCTGCACAAATCAACTCATTGTCCCTTTTGACTTGCACAGACAGCAATACCGATCTTGGAGAAGCTTGATCCGTACAATCTCTACATCTCTTACAAGCTATTCCGAGAATCCACCCGCTCAGTAGATGGACGGATAGTCAAGGACTTGTCGTATCTCAACCGCGATCTGTCAAAGGTGATCGCAATCGGTACACAGCCTGATCATTTGCATCTCCACCCCGAAAACGCGATTATCCTCCCGAAATGGAGAGGTGATCATCAGACTAAGGGTGGACTTGTCGGGCTGATTCCGTTTCTGGAATGTGAGTGAAAGGTCCGACCTTCAGGAATAAAGGACCCCACTAATTGCAATTTTTTTTTTTTGGCGGGCCAGCAATCGCGATCCACAAGACTGAAGACGTACGCCCCGTTCTGAAAGCGTACGCGGGAAAGGATGTTGCTGTAGAATATGCCAAGAAAGAGGCGGAGAGCAAAAAGAAGCACATTGAAGAATGGGAGCGACAAGGCGGTAACAAGAGTGTTGTGGGAGGATTTACCATGAGTTCACTGTTCGGTAGTGTAAGTTGGAGCTCGTCACCCTGCTCCGTGACTGATGGAAGTTATTCCCACAATCATCAGTCGTCTGGGACTCGCCCAACGAAGAAGGGCCCACCACCGACCTATCTCGAGGCCAAGCGTGCAGAAGCTCAAGAATATTATCGCCAGGAACTTGCTTACTTCAAGGCTCAGGAACCTCAGATGCAGAAAATGATTGAAGAAGAGCGTGAACGGCAAACGAAGGAGATGAGTGGAAGCCTGTTTGATGTTATTATGGGGCAGTCGGGGCCTGCAGCCATGCTTGCTAAACTCGAGAAGGAAAGAGAGGAGAGGGAAGAACGTGAGCGAGAGGAGAAAGCCAGGAAAGAGAATGGAGGGAAATAACCTGCTTACGTAATACAACTGGCGTATCTTTATATATTAACCCCTGATGGTTTTGAGAGTGCTGCACGGATGCACGGACGTATACGATTCATGAATGAGAACCGCGCGATATTCACCTATACAAACGCATATATATCCCACGAACGAAAACGGCTCTGGCAACTTGACTAGGCAGGTGACCAGCCAGGCTTCTCTTTAGTGGGAAGAGACAATGTTAACGATATTCACGACTACAGCAAGTCACGTAGTAATACTGGATATGCAATATTGCACATGGGTAAAATCAAGTTCGCAAAAGTGGACGTGCGTACTTTTGTACCCTGAAACGACAAAAAAGGGGGGTGTGAATGTTATGAACAGCGTTCCAAATATGGCAATGCGTCTCCCAGCGGCTCACTCGTAGCACAGATGTAAAGAAATATAACTAGTGATTTTGGGTCAACGTCCATGCGTGGAAGTATACAAAGGAATGAATTACGATGAAATACTACGCAATGGAACTCCTGTGCGGACTTGCGCGCTTAGCTAGTACAATCCTCCACATCATCCTTCCCAATGTGTCCATATTTGCGCTTGCGCCGTGTTGGGTTCAAACCATCGTGTTATGCCGCCTTCTAGGGGGTACGGGGTCACGGGGATTCGAGCTGTTGTGCATAATTGAATCGGTAGCTCAGGTCTCGAAACCCCAGACCGAAACTAACTCATGCTTACTGGTTGATATGAGGATTGTCGAGACTCTGATATCGGCCTCTGTGCCTGACGAACAAAATGGGTGAATGATGCTGCCAAAGTGTGTGTTGCCAGGGCGCACTGTTGGAGTCTGAGGACGGGCTGAGGAAATGCGACCTAGAACGGGCTCTCAAATGGGGACTTGAAGTCTGTCAGGGATGCATACCTGGTCGCTAGTACTAGGAGGAGGATTAGTGGGTGGAGGCTTTGGTAATAGTAGTAAAGTCAGCCAACTGGGATCAGCCCCTGGAGATTACTTGCTCACCGAGGGTCTACGCCTTCCATTTCGCCTGCGATTACAGCCCCCACCTGGCACGAACTCGTCGGATTCGATCGAGTTGTCCTTTGAATCATTAATATTCTCAGAAGTCGACACGCATGATGCACGGGTGTTGAGCTGTGAAGGACGCACAAAGCTGTCATCACGTCTGCTTGAACAAAGACCCATAACTAAAGAAAGAACGCTAGCGAACAGCACTCAGTTCCGTGCTACATGAACTAAAATGATATTATGAGGCGATATCTAGTCTCACCTCAGTTCCGTGCTACGTGAACTGAGGGAGGACCCACAAAGATTCTGCTTTTATAATCAGGCGCTCTGAATAGCCACAACTTTGGCAGCCAAGATGGCTAAGAAAGGAAATAATAGCAGCGGAAAAATGCTGAACCGTGAGTTGACCACAGCATAACATCCATTATCAAGAAGTCCAGATACGCGCGGTCCACAACCAGTGAAGGCTTCGGGGACAGATATTTTGGATACATATTACTTATGTTGGACGATTCTAGGAGGTAACTCGCTCGTACCCCATTTCTGTATCCATGGTACATCATCGCCGACGGCATCCGGCGGGGCCGCACCCGCGGGAATAACACCATACCATCCTTATCAGTCAAATGGTCCAGGTTCCAATTCAGAAACATCGGGAAGATATGTATCTCCTTCGGAGGGAAAACGGTGGCGGGTCGCGTCAAATGCAACGGCGGCCAGTCGATGGTCCCCTGTGCGCGCGGATAACGAACTGCTCTCAAATCCCCTTGTTACAGCGGTAAAAGGAATAATTACTACAGCCTCAAAGGGAATTGAATGCTTCCTCATTTGGTAGTACGGACCCGCAGAGTGATTTTCGCGAGACAGCTAGAGTGAGAGTTTGTTTCAAAGGCCTGCGGATTCGAGATGGCGTCTTCCGAGCGGGGGCGCTTCTACTTATTCTCAAGATACCACGACATGGAAATGCATGGTCCGGCGTCAATCAAAGAATCGATGTCATCAACACCCACGACTGCCTTCGATGCTGCAGGGGAAGGAAAATTGCATCGGACCGATGTTGCCGGGCTTGCCACCAACTGAATGACCCCACGGGTTACATAAATGAATATGCAACTGTGGAAGAACGAATGTGCAGTACTACAGTGTAGGTTGCTTATTTTTGACGCCTCACTTTGCTTCCGAAGGACTTTCTTTCTCAGCTCGCAAAACTTGTTTAAACTGTATGGAAACTAGCGGAAAGGCAGCACTTTTAAGTACTTTACCAATGTATCAGAGCAATTTCGTGTAATTTTGAGTAATGAAAATTTTTTCTCAAAAAAATTGGCAGTGAATTAGGAAACGTGTTCAAATGATGTCCAACTGGTCCGAAATGACATGGATAGATGGTATTATATTTGAGTTGGTTACAAACAACACCAGTTTGTCTGTGCGGCATCGCAATCACGTGCTACCCGAGCGTCAAGGTCCCTTAAGTCAAAATGCCTGCCTTAAATGCTCGCAAGCGCCAAGCACGCGAACAGAGGACAGGAAGCTCAAGGACATTTGGGAAGCGTCTTAAGCACTCAGATTTTGAGGGCGACTCCCCATCTGAATATGAGGACAATCCGGCTGCAAATTCAGACATCTCAACAGACTTATGCTCCGAGGGTGCCGATGCGACAGAGGAATCTGAAGAGGAAGACCATATAAGAAGCTTAGAGATATTTTACAGTGTCTTTGAGGAGCCAAGCCACCGAGGAGATGTTGAGAAAAGGACTCGGGAGGTATGTCCCATACACCCATAATGACCACTCAATATCCACTGTTCAAGGCGAAGCTCCGGAGCGCATATACTGGAGATTCCACTCGGACTCAGTATCGGGTGAAAGCAAAGCGCAGGGACCTAATGAAAGCGGCGACAACTTGTGATGCCGATATCCTCAGAAAGTTCTTGAGGCAGCCGGTCAGTCCTCATATCAGTTTCATTTTTCCAAGTGAGCACAACTGATATTTCTGGGAAGAACACCACAGAGAGAAGCCGAGAAAGCGCCATCATGGAATTTGAAGAGAGATTCACACAGTTGATGCGAGGTTTCGAGACAATGAGTTTGAAGGATGAGATGGTACGTGCATCTGTTACACACCACTGGACAGTATGCCAGAGCAATGTCATCGATCTCCCTGTAGGTCGGTGATGAAGAAGTCCAAGACGATATAGGCAGCAGCGCAGCACCGGAGGACATAGATGACGGAGAAGTGTTTGAAGATGGGACTTTGAACCGTGCCGGACCAGATACTCGACCACTTGCCACCACTGATGTGACCAATACAGAGCGCTCCACTGACATCCGCCAGTCCATTGAAGGCATTCTAACTGAAGAAGAACCCGAAGAAGATATCCTGGCCACTATACACAAACTCGTGAAACAAGCAACACGGATCACCTCAATGGCAACATTGAAAGAGATTATGGTCCTCACAGCGGTAGCTGGATATATACAGCTGTATCGAAAGCAGCGGTCCATTCCAGGAAGAAAGCACCAGAGACCTTTGCAGGCAGCAAGTCTTGCGGTGGCACAACGCATGGGAAAGGGCCCAGCATTTGCACGTAAAATCCGAGAGATGACACACCACATTAAACAATTCCGAAAGCTCCCAGAAAGGTGTCGATCAAAGAAAGGGGGTGCAAAGAGTTTTCTTCATAATGAAGCAGTGGTAATGGGTGTAAGACGGCATCTGGCAGAACAGCGCTTGGGCGAAGTAAACTTGAATCCATCTGAGTATCATCCACGACTCACTGCCAACATCTGATTAGGTGACAACTCAGAAATTAATGCAACATGTCAATGAGGTGCTTCTTCCCACCTTATTCCCTGAGGACACCAAGAAGACAATCAGTGAGCGGGCTGCTCGACGGTGGCTGTGGAAGTTGGGGTATCGAAATGTGGAGTCAAAGAAGGGGACATACACTGATGGCCATGAACGGCCTGATGTTCTGGCATATCGACAGAAGTACCTCGAAAAAATGTCCACCAATAAGGGGTTTGGAAGGTATGTTAACTTGTACTGTATATATATTGCCATAAATTCTTACTTCAATGGGTCGATGGGTGTGGGTCAGATTCTTTCGCAAGTACGATGGAAATGAGATGGAGCCAGTCCCAACTGTCTTTGCTGACAAGGAACATATACCCGTGTTCCAGGATGAGAGTATATTTCATACTAATGAACACCGACGCCGTGTTTGGATAGAAAATGGCAAGCAGCCCCTCAAAAAGAAAGGCAATGGTCGTGCTATACATGTTTCCGATTTTATCACTGAGAAGGGTCGACTGGTCCTAACAGAGGAAGAAGAGATACGAAACCGAGAACGCCCAGCAACCACTCAGATTAAGTCTGATGCAAGAGTCATCACATATCCGGGGAAAGGTCATGATGCGTGGTGGGATGGTCAGCAACTTGTTAATCAGGTATGGACTTGAAATTGACGTAAAGTGCATAATTGATTATTTACAGCTGAAGGATGCAATTGATATATTTGAGTTCAAACACCCAGACTGTGTCGGAGTATGGATATTTGACTGCTCTTCAAGCCATGAGGGATTCGCCCCCGATGCGTTGAATGTGAATGGCATGAATGTGAATCCGGGTGGAAAACAGAAAAAAATGCGACCAACCATCATCCCACTCGACAACCCACCCCCATTACCAAACGAGGAAGATACTCGTGGCCAAGTACAGCTAATGGTCTACCCAGATGACCCAAGCATCCCTGCTGGGCTGCAAGGAAAGCCTAAAGGAATGCGCATTGTGTTGCAGGAGCGCCAAAGTGTGTGGAGGAAACTTGTTGCCGAAAGTCCAAATGGGAAGCCGATTGGGACCTGTGAGCAGTGCCGAAAGTCTCAAGCTGCAAAAGATGCAGAAGCACGCATTTCTGCTGCAGAGGCAACTGGTGAGGAAGTAGAGGACATCCCACTGTCAGATGCACTGGATGACCCAACTGCGGCCTCTGACTGGTGCTGTATGATGCGTGTTCTGTCCCAGCAATCCGACTTCAAGAGTGAACGGCCACTTCTTCA